ATTTTACAATCATGAAAGTTACAACTTATGAATAAGATTGGATGTTTTTAAGGCTTTTTTTATTAGAGGAGATTCTTTGAAGTGACGAGCAAAGCAAAAGTAAATCAGAAGTGAATATTTTACAATTAGGTTTAAAGTTAAAGCATCTCGCTTTGTGAATGTGGAATTTTCCCAGCATACAAATAAAGTCCAGGGCATCCTCTAGCTCCCTAGTGTCAGAAACCACAGAATGAAAGAGAACCTTAACTGCTGAAATGTTACATAGACGAAAGAATACAAGAAGTAAAGATGCTGAAATATGCAGCCAGAATTGTTTAGTATAAGGACAGAAATAGAATAAATGTGAAAGAGATTCTTCCTCTTCTTGGCAAAAAGAACAGAGTGGAGAAAGATTTTGTATAAATTTACTTAAATCTTTGTTGCAGGGGTAATAATGATGAATCATTTTAAAATGAACTTCTTTTATTTTAGTATTAAATAAAAATGTGTTTGGGACTGCCCATACTTTCTGAAAATTAACATTTGGATAAAGTGCCAACCACTTTCCATAAGCTTTAAAAGATGAAGCATTATTAGCGGTAACAACGTTTCTCAAAAATTAGTTTGTACACTTATTATCCATAATATTAACCCCTTGAATAAACAATCGAGGGATAATTAAACTAAAATTACAATGTATTTTAAAAGACTTCAACATTAAAAACAACAACTTAGGAGGAATGGAATTTGTAAGAATAGTATAGTCCCGTTTTGAAGCATTTATCCCATATTTATTAATAAAATCAGCATAGGCATAAAAAGGAAGTTGGTGTTAGGGAAGCTTAACATCATAAAGATCTGAAACAAATTTAAGTGTTACATATATATATATAATTTATTTATTTATACAACAGTTCGTTCTGGTTCTCAAATCTGATTGGTTGAGAACGGTGAGCTATTGTACTGGTATCGCTACGGGAACCCCTTTCACAATTTTGTATCACTCCGCTTGTTCTAAGCCGGGTCTATGTTTTTTTTTAATTATTCACTAAGCGTTCTGGTTCTCAAATCTGATTGGTTGAGAACGGTGAGCTATTGTACTGGTATCGCTACGGGAACCCCCTTTCACAATTTTGTATCACTCCGCTTGTTCTAAGCCGGGTCTATGTTTTTTTTTAAATTATTCACTGAGCTAATCGTAGAGTACGCTAGTTAATATAAGAAGAAACGTCTAGCTTCGCGGTCTCTCTCTCTCTCTCATTTGGATGCACGTCTTGCCGCATTGTTTCTCTTATAACTTCTTTATTTCTCACTAATAACTGAAGCAGCACATGCCCTTGATACCAATTCTAAAAGTGACGTATGTTTAACTGTCAACTTGAGCGTTGAATCCGTGGCGGAAGCAAGTAGTTCCGCACAAAAGAGGGTTTTATTAGGCACTCCGTTGTTTCTTGCTTAATTACACACATGTTCCGTCGAACTGTTGTATAAACGCAATTTCACTCTCGTACTCGAGCCTCTGGCCTAATCACAGCCATGCTGATATAGAGCCGGCATCGCTCTCGTACTCCTATATAATCCAGTCAAAACGGTTGAGAACCACTGAAATGGAGCTTGGTTTCTTCATTATCTGCCTGAAAATGAAAATAGATGTGGAACTTTATATTCAGGTTTATTTTGGATCCAGGGTTGGGAAAAGCAATGGCTCGCACACGCGTGCGGCAACCTCTCTCTCTCTCTCTCTCTCTCTCTCTCGAGAAGCCAACAAGGAAGTGACTTAAACTGTAATTTATCGACTGGCCGGCAACCTCTCTCTCTCTCTCTCTCTCTCTCTCTCGAGAAGCCAACAAGGAAGTGACTTAAACTGTAATTCATCGACTGGCCGCTAGAGGCTGGCTGCATAAGGGAGTCGATCCCTTAGACTCCCCATGTTAAAATGGGGGTTTTCGGCCAATTTACAGCAGAAAAAAACATGTTTACAGCCTGGTTCAAAAAGTGGTTTGGGTCATATAGCTAATTTTGCCCTTCATGACAACTGTGAGGGGGGTGAATTTTTTTATAACTCATCCGTTTAAATTATATTAGGCCTTAAAGTGCTGCATAATTAAGGGCGTGGCCACTTGAGTGACAGGTGGATTGCCGCTGCTGTCACCACTGTCGAGCTAGGTGGGCGTGGCTTCAGCAACCTGCTCCCGCCTCTTTGCCCGTTTTCGATTATCCGGGAGTGACGCGAGGTGACGCGCTGCCAAGATGGCGACGGTCGGCTCCGCCCACTTTTGAGTTTCAAAAAGGCTCTTCGGAAACCTACGGGTGACGTCACGGACACTACGTCCATGGTTTTATACAGTCTCTGGTGTATATGCACAGCTGTGACCCATATAGCTGACAGGTGATGATGCTCGGGTAGCCAGGTGGTCGTCCTGGTGGGTGGAGAAAGCTGTCCAGACAGACAGACAGAAAGACACGCGCAGATGGCGCAGGAACTCTGCCTTCACTCTGTGTCCTTAAGAAGAAACTTAAAAGTTCATCTGCAGGTCTTAATCGAGGACACGCAGATCTGACGCTTCCGTGTGAAGGCAGACAGAAAGAGGCTACACGCACGAGGACAGAACAAGAGCGCGCGTGTGTGTGTGTGTGTGTGTGTGTGTGTGTGTGTGTTACTGTCACCGACACCAGCAGCAACACCTGCTGGACAAACTCTGCAAAATATTCCTTACAGGACAAAGAGGCTCGGCTTTATTTTAAAGGGGTAGGACTTTATATTGATACACTGTCTCTACTTTTATAGCCAATCTTTACATTTTGTTTTTTGTAGCATTTTTTTTTCACTCCAGGGGATTAAGCGCTTACATTGTAATACTACATTTGTGACCTTAACATTTTAATCTTATACATTTAATAAATGTAATATTGTTCATGGGGATTTCTTCACCTTCAGGCACTTTTATAGTCATAGTGAAAGGAAGCAGTTTCCACTTCATATTCACATTCATATCAAATAACCTATATAGATATACCATGAAATCACCTGACGAGTGAAGATTTCCATCCTGTGCTGATTTATTCAAATTCAATAATATTAAAAAAGCTAATAGCCTTTAACCTATGTCGCAACCACAAACTGTGCTTTGCAGCTTGCTAATGTTAATCAGAGGCAGGTAGTATTGGGAGAAGGTTTGTTCTTATTCTAGGAAGACAGACATTTGGAGCGCAAGATGAGTTACCACTATTATTGTTTCTTTTTCCCAGAAGAGAAATACTGTATATTTGTGTGCAAAATGTTATTTTTGTCAACTTATAGGAGTGCACAAGCATTTACATGGCCTTGATATGTGACTCTGGCAGAGAAAGCACTTATGTCAGGATGGGAATGTTACAGACATGACGACTACAAGCTACATACACCTCAAGCTGATGTGCCTCAGCAGATCCTTTTTAATCAAGTCCACGAGAGAGACAAGACCACAGTAAGAGAGAGAGACAGACTGCAGCTGCTAGGGTTTCATTTACTGGCTCTTAAAATATCACGTCTGCACTGGTAGATTACTGTTTATTAAAAAGTAATAAAAGATTTTATTAAGCTCACATGCATTACATTATGGCAATATATTTAAGAATGATCAAAATAGCAAACCAAAGAATAGCGATCAAACTTACTAGACAGAAGAAAAAAAAATTATTAATAAAAAGATGAACACTATTGCTCAAATGTCTAAGATTTTCTTATTATTTTTGAAATAGAAGTTTCATATGCTCAACAAGGCTGCATTTTATTTGATCAGAAATACAGTAAAATCAGTAATATTGTGAATTATTACAATTTAAAATAGCTCTTTTCAATTTAAAATATAATTTATTCTTGTGATTGCAAAAATAAATTTTTAGCATCATTACTCCAGTCTTCAGTGTCACACGATCCTTCAGAAATCATTCTAATATGCTGATTTGCTGCTCAAGAAATGTTTCTTATTATTGCCAATGTTGAAAACAGTTGTGCTGCTTAATATTTCTGTGGAAACTGCAAAACATTGTTTTAAGGTTTTTGTTTTGATGAATAAGGAAGTTCAAAAGAACAGTATTTTTTTTGAAAGAGAAATCTTTAACGTAAAATATAAATGTCTTCACTCCCATTTTTGACCAATTTACTGCATCCTTGATGAATAAAATAAATAAAATAAAAAAACTAACTCATACCGACACCAAACTTTTTTTGACCTTTAGTATATATGGTGGTTGACTACATAAAACGTCCTATCATGATACTTATAACTCTCAGAGACAGACTTAATAAACACCTTTAACGCAATATCACATCACTCCCCCTAAAGTCTAGCTCATTCGGTTACATAATGCAGCTTAAAGTTTATTTTAAGCCAGTCTGATGCTCTGGACATGGAATGTGCTTTGAGCTGAGATTAAGATCAGAGATCACGACACAAGATCCACCTCATCCGAAACAAATACATCAAAATTAGGCCAGGATGTTGAACTGATAAAAATCTCAATGTGCATTTTGCTCGACTTTTACCTCGCATTTCTGCAGCATTTGACCATCTAGTTTTAATACTGAATCTAATATATTGCACCGTGTATAGACGGATTCGTAAGAGCGCAGGAGTCAATTAATTGATATAGGTATTTATTTGCAGTCAGGAGGCATAGATGAAACAAGAAGACACGACTCTGAAAGACATTGAGGAGTCTGTGGCCAACAAAAACAGATATGGTTTAGAGACAAACACAAAAATGAAATAAATAAAAAAAACAACTCAAAGGCCGATCCCTCCGTTCTAAAGAGAACCTCACTAGGATACACCTCTGAGAAACACACCAGCTCACCCCTTTATATAAAAGAGCTCGGTAATATTAGATAGAAATAAGCATACGGTATATTTCAGAATGTCTTTGAAAGGACTAAGATGAGCTTGATTTGAAAGATTTTGAAGCATTGAGAAGGGGAAAAACTCACCCAAACATCATATGCAGTTCACTTAAAGGTTCAACAAAGCACACTAGCTTGACATTTTTAAAACGTGATTTTTAATTCTGTACATGTAATAAATGCAATGACAAGATATTCAGTGTTGATTGCTTTTAAGGTCACAATTCCGCATGTGCTTGACGTCACTCGCTTAGAAAACCGGTTAGAAATGGTCAGTTTCTAAAAGAGTCCCGCACTCCACTCTCAGCACAGGTTTCCATTGCACAATGATTAATACCCTAGAGCAGAGAGATGCCACCTGCTCCTTTAAACAGATTTAGAACATAATATTAAATCATAACTGATAAATGAACAAGCACATGTAGTATACAGGTTACAACAGACCATACAGTAAAGAAAAGAAAAGAAAAAATGTAATAGGGAACTGAATGAATGCCAGAATGCTTCTGTAATGTATGCCCAATTACTGAACCATCTTTAGGGTTTTGACAACTCCCATCCTCCTGAGAGGCTCATCTGAATTTCAGCTGCCCGTCTAGGCATCCTTCGGGATCCATATTCTTCGCCAGGAAGCAGAAACGTCACTAACGCATCAGTTTTAGGCATATCTGCTTCTTATAGAGAATGAGGGCAATGGCAAGGAGAAAAGCAGCACAATTTTCAGCTCAGGTTCTTGAACAGCTTTCCCTCTTTCTTTTAAAGATAAGTTGATGCATAGACTTTTATTTTGAATGTTTTCTCAGAGTTTTTGAACGATTAACAGCACACTTCAAACTCCCATAAAGTCTATTAGGTTTTCCACACACATTAAAAAGGTGAAAATGACAAAAAATTAGACAAGCTAAACAGAATAACAAGTGAAAAAGGAGAAACAGCATCAGTAAGGCCAAGGTTTATAGAGATAATCAAAGGGAAACTGAATTTAAGCAGGGAAAAAAAATACAAATAATTGGATAAACATGAATCTAACTTGCTCTAAAACATCTTTCGATTCATATTGAAATAAGATGAGGGATTTCATTTCACTGTATTCCGAGTAGGCCTAGATTCATTTCTAATGCGGTTATTTTTCTGTCCTTCGGTACCTAGAGACCATTAATCAGTGCTAGTGTTTCTCACAGAACACCCAGTACAATCAACATCGACGTTCACAGTCAAACACACTCTAAAACCCGGTAGCTGTTCATTTCACAAAGCAGTTTAAGATCTAATTGAGGCTTCACAACCTGATCCCAGATCAGCTGTAGAGCAGTAACAACAGCATATCTCCTCCTCTATCACACCCACAGTCTCACAAGCCTGTCATCGAAAGGGAGGAGAAGACTGGGTCAAAACTCCCACCACTAAAACCAAAACAACACCGTAATCTGACGGAGCAACATTTCCTTTACAAGGTGGCTTCTTCCTCAAGAGTCACATGGATGAGATTATATTTGAGGGAGAGAAGTGAATGGGCAAAGGGATTGTTTATTATGTTAAATAAAAAGTTAAAGGGCTTCTGAGTACAGAGCCAAGGGAAGAGAAGGGGGGACCTGATGCTCCTAGCTCAGGAGCTGACGAATCTCCTTGTGCATGTGACACAGGAAGTCCACGTAAGAGGCCCCACCATTGTTGCTCTTATCCTCCACCAGGAAGTGCTTGAAGATCAGCTCCAGCTTGTCTTCCGGTTTCACCACCATGAGCTGAAAGACAACGATTATTTACAATTATATTAATTTAGTCTTGGACAGGTTTTAAAAATGAGTAAAATACTGGAGGAAAAACATTCATATCAGCTGTAGGCACTGTTTCCTCTAAGCTGCACGCAGAAGAAATAATATGCCGCGCACAGGACAAATGCAAAAATGAGTTTGGAAAGGCATTTGATTTAACTCTAGTAAATGCAAAATAATTGCAATGCTCGGGCAAACCGCTATACAGTTGTTGTCACTATAGAACCAGCGAATGCGGTTTACAGGTTTCATAGAAAGAGAATGATGTGCGACCAATCAGTCCTTGTAGAAATCCCATGCTTTAATGTTTGTGGACGAAATAACTCAACATGAGAGCTAGCGCAAACATAATGACATGTTTTAAAGAAGAGTGGCTTGATTAAGTGGTGGAAATAGTGGATGATGAGCACAGAACGGAAACAAAACTCCGAGACATTTACACACAGGTGTAAGTGTGCAAACTCTACTACATGGGTGTTTTAGATAACTAAAATAATTCACATGTTCATGTTTTTTTGAATATATATATATATTTATATTATAAACCTAATAAATAATTGACCTCAAAAAGGGAATTCATGAGCAAAATAACGGTTTAATTTTTTCATATTAGCTATATCTTGTAGAAATCCCATGCTTTAATGTTTGTGGACGAAATAACTCAACATGAGAGCTAGCGCAAACATAATGACATGTTTTAAAGAAGAGTGGCTTGATTAAGTGGTGGAAATAGTGGATGATGAGCACAGAACGGAAACAAAACTCAGAGACATTTACACACAGGTGTAAGTGTGCAAACTCTACTACATGGGTGTTTTAGATAACTAAAATAATTCACATGTTCATGTTTTTTTGAATATATATATATATTTATATTATAAACCTAATAAATAATTGACCTCAAAAAGGGAATTCATGAGCAATAACGGTTTAATTTTTTCATATTAGCTATATCATATTATAATAAAAAAAAAAATCTCAAGTAACCTACATCAAGGGTCAAATCAAATATAAATAGCACATTAAAGTTAAAAGTTGCACACTTTTTTTGTGTGCGCACTGTACAGGTCTGGTATAAAGAATATAATGACATGTTTTAAAGAAGAGTGGCTTGATTAAGTGGTGGAAATAGTGGATGATGAGCACAGAACGGAAACAAAACTCAGAGACATTTACACACAGGTGTAAGTGTGCAAACTCTACTACATGGGTGTTTTAGATAACTAAAATAATTCACATGTTCATGTTTTTTTGAATATATATATATATTTATATTATAAACCTAATAAATAATTGACCTCAAAAAGGGAATTCATGAGCAATAACGGTTTCATTTTTTCATATTAGCTATATCATATTATAATAAAAAAAAAATTCTCAAGTAACCTACATCAAGGGTCAAATCAAATATAAATTGGGTGGCCAAAATGTCCACCCAATAGGGGGGGAAAAATCCATAAATGTCTAGCAACAACTACATAAATAAATAATAAACGTTTTTAATTTTTTTTTATAAGGTGTCATCCTATAATCACGAGTGACCCTTGCCTCCCGGTAGTGAAGAATAATCACAGACTAACACATGGACATTAATCTGGACTGACTACTCCCTTTCTCCCCTTAGTCAAGGTCACACATAATTCCTGGATTATCTTGACTTCCTGATGCGTTTCATTTGCTAATAATTTTATTGTACCGAGATGATAAAAAAAAAGAAAAGTTCAACACTAAGTGACTTAAGCTTTCAGAAAAATAAATATTTTCAGCTGCTTGAATCACAAATATCTGCAAAAGCATAATATCAAGCCCTGTGACGTATATACCTTCATGTATCGTGAACGCTGTGCCCTGAAGGACTCGATAATCTCCCTCAGTCTCTTTGAAAAAGGATTATCCAAAGCCGGCAGAGAGGTCTAAATCAGCAAAACACAATAAAAATCACCAATGTTCACATCATATTTTTAAAAACAAAATGCAACATGCAAAAACATGTCAAGCATCCTTGGTAAAGTTTCATGCGCTCATAAGTAATACCGGAGCTACATAACTGCTTCTGTATGAGAAAAAACAAATCTTTTATTTACATTATGTGCGCATATTATTTTCTCAGCATTTATAAGGGGTCGTACCATGTTGGGGTCTATCTGGCCGAAAGCCGGTGTGCCAAAGATGTTCTGAAGCAGCTCCTGTTGGGCATTAACCCCCACCCAAAGGAAAATGTTCAGTCCGTTCTCTAACAGATACACTCCTCCCCTAGACAGTCTCTCCTCAGAGTTCCTCACTGCCACAGGTAGAGACATGCTCATAACATCCAACTTTTGCTGTAGAGAAACCGAGACCGTACCATAATCATCACAGCTCAATTACAATATAAAATGGGCTGGTATTATCGTGTTTGTCTCTCACCAGCGGAAGCAGACGAGGGTAGAAGAACACATGGCTCTCAGACACATCCAAAGTGCTGACCAGCTGTCTCAGGTAGGCACGGTCATCCAGGGAGACGTCCGCCCCGGGCTGCAGAACGTCACTCTTCAACATGCAGTTCAGGTACACGGGCAGTAGCTTCATACATTCTGGTAAAATCAACTGTACGCAGAAAAATAGACAAGAAAATATAATAAAAAAATAAGAGAATGTGCGCAATTGTAGGATATGACAGAAACACTGAAGATATTTAATCATTAATAAATAGTATTTGTATGAAAGAACAGTACACTGTGTTTTTGTGTGTTGATTTTCCATAGTTACCTGCCCTGCTGAAGATGGACTGGCACAGTTCTTGCGGTAGCAGGCTAAGATCTGTGCACACTGATTCACCAGGCTATCACGTACATTCTTGATAGGACTGCCGAGTACACTCCGATATGCTGTAAACACATACAACAACAATCTTTCAAAACTCGAATCAAGTCCCAGAACACATCATAAAAAAAAAAGTAAATTCTATCTTCGAAACTTTTACATAAAAATGGCCTATATTATGATTAACTAACATTTCAGCCTCCACTGAGATGCTAAATAGGTAGGTGTTGATCGTTATGTCAATCATAATTTATTACTGACTTGCCTTTGCAGGCTAGTTTTATTAAATTATGTAGGTAGACTGGGAAGGGAGCTCTATCTTTTGAAAACAAAACAAAAACCAAAATAAAAACAAAACAATGATGCATTATTATTGATGTGGAGAGACTGGGAAGGGAGCTCTAGCTTTTGAAAAAACAAACAAACAAAAAAACCCAAAAAAGCTTTTGGAAAAAATAAATAAATATATAAATAAAAACAACAACAACATCAAACCAATTGTGTATTAAATGCTGTATGTACACTGGAAGCTAGCTTTAGCTTTTGAAAACAAAACACAAAAAAACTCAAATAGGTAAATAACAAAATAATAATAAAAAAATACAATAAAATAAAAAAAACTGAATAAAATTTTACATTGGTGTAACAGAGGTGGCCCAAAGAATGCTAGCGCAGGAAGAAGTGAGGTGGTGTTTATCCGACTGGTGTAAGAGGATGTGTGTGGTTTTACTCACCATATTTGGCGAAAAAGTTTATGATGGTGTCAGTCTCACAGTTCCTGTACAAGTCTGCCAGCTGAGAGCAGCAGTTCACTGCCATGTTATGGATCCGAAGCCGTCGCTGACCACTGCAGCTGGTGTACAGAACTGCACACTGAAAGAAGAGCAAGAGAAAGAGAGTACAGACAAAAAGGTCAGCACAGCTGAAGTCATTAAATGTTGAGATGACTGAACCCAGTGTAGCTGACACTTCACATTGATATGCAATACTAGAGGACACACACACACACACACACCAACCTGCATTAGAGCGCCAGTCTCCTCGCTGAGCTTATCATCATGTCTGAACTCCACGGTAACGGTCTTGTCACAGTCTAGTCCTGCCAGCTCTACATCTGTGGTATTGCTCATGTAGAAGGAACCAAAGAAGTCGGTCGCCCGGATACCTGTCACAGCACCACACACAAGTTCAACTCCTGTACATATATGCATTAAAAACTGATGATAAAAATGCAATAAAAAAAACAAGAAGGGGATGAATGTCACATGGCTGATATGTCTTGGAGAATTGTGGAATAAAATCATACCAAAACACATTTATAAATTTGTGCTTCTCTGTTGTGGGTGGAACATGGCCCTTTCTTGGCTTTTGAAGTTGAACACCTCTGTTAAAATGAGTGGTGATTCACACTACTGTTCAAATGTTTGAAATGCAAGTAAGAAATACAAAGATACTGCAGACTTGAGTAACAGCTGTGAAAATTCAGCTTTCCCATCACTGGAATAAACTATAAATAATATAGTTTATTATACAAGTATTATACATAATAATTGTAAATAAATAAAAACCGAAAACCATTTTTCAGTTGTAATACTACTTCACAATATTACCATTTACTGTATTTGTGATAAAATAAACACAGCCTTCATCTTACACAACAACGGTTGTGTATAAATATATTGTGGTAGGTAAATGGCAGGATGAAGAAAATACAAAAAAAAGCAAGCAATAATTCAAAATCGGGTGTATAGAGCTGTGTATTTACCTGTGCTGGTGCGGACCCTCATCAATGCATCAAAGCCCACCTGCTTCTGCACATCTCTCCTCAGGTCATTGAGGAAACGCTCCTGGTCAGATGAAGCCTGAAACAAACCATAGTTTATATAATCACAGTGCATGTTGTTTTTGGTTAAGGAGATTTCTTTGATCTGGTCACGTATGGTATTAATGGCTAGGTGGTATAGTTCTCTCTTACCTGGAAGTAGGTGTATTTGTAGATGGAGCCACCCGTTGAAGTTGGGACCACCCCTAACGTTGCTACATCAACATACTGGTTGGGAAATAGGAAGAGGTCCACACAGCATCCCTGTGCAACACACTCCTTGGCAAGGGTGTTGTAAAAACTAACTTGCGGCTGGAATAATGACTGCAAAAGAAATGGAGATGGGAACTTCACAATGTGCTGGAGAGGGTCCTTTAAAACACCACATTAAAAAGCCTTCTGCAACAGTGTTCCAATAGATCTCAGAGTCTCAATGATGACAAAACATTTTCAGAGACAGACACAATGAAATGAGCAGAACAGATTTGAGAGGTACCTTTTCTTTATCCGTGCCCACTAGTTTCTTATCCTCCCTGTTCTTCAGTTTGCCTGGAGCCTCAGCAATGGGAAGAGATGAGTGAAAAACAAAGAGCTTTCCGGCACAGTCTGCAGCCTAGATGACAAAGTAGAAATGTTACTGTTACTTAATGATTCCGTTCGGAGTAGACACGAAACACTCAAACCAAAATAAAATATAAAACTAAAAGTTTCTTCCATTAACACTGTATACAGAAATGCTTCATTTAATTACTACAAGGCTGACATCATTTTGAATCACAATGCGTTCACATGATGTACACTCACTGTGAACTATGAAACTTGCGCAGTTGCAATAAGATCAAATACCTTGAGCGCTTCCAGCCCGGCCTGAATGACAGGCCCAAACACAGACTCGGTTTCCCGCGTGTCTGCAAACATCTCAGGGATCTGATCCAACAAACTGGTGGGCAACGTACATTTTCATAATCAATACTTTGATGGTCAAAAATTCAGGTATCCTAGCTTTTATACTAGCTTAAATGGAAAAATTCTACTAAATTATGGATGTTACAGTGTACTTACTCAAATTCAAAAGGATTTTTTAAGAAACTGATATGAGGATGCATTATATTGACACAAATTACATTATTAAATTGCTATTTTTAAACTGAAATATTATTTCAGTACATTATTGTTTTTACTTTTTTTAAATAAATAAATGCAGTCTTGGTGGGAAGAAACAACAACAACAACAGCAAAAACTTATCAACCCCAAACTTTTGAACAAAACTGAAACAAAAACTGAAGCCTACCTCTCAATAACCACCCTGGACTCTGAGACATTGACCAGAAATCCATCCAGTAGGGGCACAAACATGTCAGCCACATCTGACACTACCATCATCTGTGGCTGGGCGAGGGAGGCCTTCACATTATAGAAATGAAGCACTTTATTGTAGGTGACGAAGCCAACTCGAATGTTTGATTCCATATCAGGGTTCTCTCTGCAGTAATAATAAATAGGCAATGTCACAATTACATGTAATGTTCTGTTGTACATGCAAAAAACAACCTCTCAACAGATATGAATGAATTTTCTGTGTTTTTCTAATGGATCAAACTGCTTCTTGTTTAAACTCACCTGGGCAAGTAGTCCAACAGTGTCTTCAGCTCCTGACATATGATTCCAACCATGCCATTCTTCACAGCATTGTAGGACACATCAATCAGGAAGATGAAGGCTGGCGGCTGAGGAATCTTGTTGTTCTGTCAATAAATAGTATTCAAAATTAATAATCCCATACGTATCAGCACAGAATTTCCTTAAGATTGTAGTGGCATGATGGGAACATATACTGTACCTTACAGTAGTCCACAGTAGCTGTAAACTCATAACTGCCCATCGAGAGCTCTGGTCGGTCATAGCAGTCCACCCTCTTCCCTGTGTGATCCAGATGCTGGAAGTAATGGGGAGGCACTAGGAGTGTGAAAGGAGAACAGAAACCAAAACATTAAATGTCGATTAGGATGAATTCATTCAACATAAGCGTGTTACGGGAGCATTACTAACCCTCGGTGACACAGCTGCAGAAGCCACACTGGAAACGACGGCCACCTTCGATAAACTGCATATACGGGCACATATAGGCCTTACAGCGATTACAGCGGATGGGACCACTTTCTCCATGATCCACAAGATATGGTGGTGTCTGCCAGTAAAAAGGAATAACATGCCATTACCCACAAACCCTCCTGCAATCATTTCAAATGGAATCGACAACATGCAGTAGTACACACTACTAGAATGTGACCTTTTACCTCATCTGGAGGCAGAGGTGCCAAGGGTTTAATGACAGCAGCCAGGGGCACCTGGGACTGTTTGGCCATGTCAGAATTGCAGGGTATGCTATAGGCTGTACAGCGGATATAGCGTGGACTCGCATTCCCTTTGGAGAGATGATTAATATAATGCATATTTTATCAAGACCTGTAACATCATGGAATAAAGCCTACTGTTTTACTTTAGATAAAAAAAATAGCATGCACTATACAGTATTCAGTAAGTAGCAATTCAAAGTTGTTTGATTCCAAACAATGTCTAAAAGTATCTAATATCTGTTCTTACCTTGATCTTTAACTTGGAATTTGGTGGTGACGAGAGGTGGGGCTTGACCTCTGACCCCTGTAGTAAAAGGTTCACTTCCCTTGTTTGCTTTGTCATCCTCGATAACCTGAATCTGAGTGAAAACACACCTTTATTCATGAACAAAAACACACCCTGGCCTTTCACCCAATAAACCTCTTTATGCTCATATAGAACTAATCCAAACAGGATCAATAAGTTTTTAAGTTTAGCACCACATCTGATCATCTAAACCAGATTAAAGGAATATTCAGGGTTGAATAAGCTTCGTTAACAATGCCCGATTCATGCTGTCCCCATCAGTTTAGCTCTAATATCAAACATTTTCTTACTGAACTGTCCCATAGACTTTCAAAACAAGAGCACAGAGTGCTGCAGGTATGAGCCCTAAAACTAGGAATCGAGTTAACATTTTTAAACGTGGTCAAAGTCAAAATTTATTTAATTTTTTTGGATTTTTGGTTTAATGCCTGAAATAAAGTCTGTGGTTAACACAAGCTTAATACATTTTTACATGTTATTCTACGACATAAAATATATCAGTGATTGTACACAAAACATGTAGAAATCAAACTTTTGTTATTCACAAAGCTTAGTTTCTGCAATAATCCAAGGGCCAATGGAAAAACCAGGTTGTCAACCAAAATTATGTTAGCCCTGCAGCTCTATTACAGCCCTCTTGTCATCCCAATGATGCCATTGATAGCGCACGAGTAGCATCTAACCCAGAATATACCTTTAAACGATGGGCCACAATGCTTACATTAGACCAAACCATAAATAAGAACATGTCAGTCATGCACACACTGTTACTATATTGCATGCAGGAGTGTAGATACGAACGGTTTTGGGTGGGCACCAATGACCAGTCTAAAAATAAGTTAAACGAGAGTCATTTTCCAGAATCAAAGAAATTATGACTTAAAGGGACAGTCCACCCAAAAATGAAAATTCTGTCATAATTGGCTCCCCCTTATGTCGTTACAAACCAGAATGGTTTTCTTTTCTCTGTGGAAAACAAAAGATATTTTGAACAAAGCTGGAAACCAAACCATTGATTTCCATTGTATAGAAAAAAATATATATCTTCTATGTTCCACAGAAGATATAAAGTCATAGTTTTGGAAAGATATGAGGATGAATAAATGACAGCAGAATTTAAAATTTTTACTATAGTTTTACTATTCCTTTAAGTATTCATGTTATACCGATGTGTCCATCTCATTAAGGAAGTCGTCTACTACACAGAAGCTATTATGTCAGCTCTATAAGAACAAAAAATGTAATATTCTGTTCATCTAGACAGTGTCATTGGCATCCCTATGAGTTAAGAACAGAGAAATTTGGATACAGTATAACAACACAGAGACAGCAGAGAGACACGAGGCACTTACTGGACTTGGGATTGCGTCTGGGTCTATTCTATGTCTTGTTTTCTGCACAGGCGGCATGTCAGAGGCTTGCTTTACATTTTAACAATTTAGTCAGCAAATTATAAGAGAGGAGAGGGATAGAGAGAGAAGCCAAAACAAAAGGAAAAAAAAGAAAGAAAGAGCAGAGAAGATAAACAGAAGTGTAACCACAGTTACAGTTCCTCTGTTTTTTTTTTCAAGAATTACTGATGATTAGAACTAATCCAAACAGGATCAGTAAGTTCATAAATTTAGCACCACATCTGATCATCTAAACCAGATTAAAGGAATATTCAGGGTTGAATAAGTTAAGCTTCATCGACAACACCCGATATATGCAGTCCCCATTAGTTTAGCTCGAATACCAAACACTTTCTTACTGAATAGTCCCACAGACTTTCACAACAAGAGCATAAAGTGCTGCAGGTATGAGCCCTAAACCCAGGAAATGAGTTAGCATTTTAAATACATGATTTTGAAGTCAATGTTTTTTAATGGATTTTTGGTTTAATGTCATAAATAAGGTCTTTGGTTAACAAGCTTAATACATTTTCGCATTTTATTCTACAACACAAAATATATGAGTGATATACCCCACTCATGGAGATTATCTTGATGAACAAAACATGAAGAGATCACCAACTTTTGTTGTTCATATAGCAATAGTAAAACTATTAGTATTGGCTTTTATCAAGGGAAGTCTATGGTAATGCTAATATCCAGGTTAGCAATCAACTTTACGCCAACCCTGCAGCTCTATTACTGCCCTCTTGTCATCCCAAAAAATGCCATTGATAGAGCTTGAGTAGCATCTAACCCAGAATATACCTTTAAACGATGGGCCACAATGCTTACATTAGACCAAACCATAAATAAGAACATGTCAGTCATGCACACACTGTTACTATATTGCATGCAGGAGTGTAGATACGAACGGTTTTGGGTGGGCACCAATGACCAGTCTAAAAATAAGTTAAACGAGAGTCATTTTCCAGAATCAAAGAAATTATGACTTAAAGGGACAGTCCACCCAAAAATGAAAATTCTGTCATAATTGGCTCCCCCTTATGTCGTTACAAACCAGAATGGTTTTCTTTTCTCTGTGGAAAACAAAAGATATTTTGAACAAAGCTGGAAACCAAACCATTGATTTCCATTGTATAGAAAAAAATATATATCTTCTATGTTCCACAGAAGATATAAAGTCATAGTTTTGGAAAGATATGAGGATGAATAAATGACAGCAGAATTTAAAATTTTTACTATAGTTTTACTATTCCTTTAAGTATTCATGTTATACCGATGTGTCCATCTCATTAAGGAAGTCGTCTACTACACAGAAGCTATTATGTCAGCTCTATAAGAACAAAAAATGTAATATTCTGTTCATCTAGACAGTGTCATTGGCATCCCTATGAGTTAAGAACAGAGAAATTTGGATACAGTATAACAACACAGAGACAGCAGAGAGACACGAGGCACTTACTGGACTTGGGATTGCGTCTGGGTCTATTCTATGTCTTGTTTTCTGCACAGGCGGCATGTCAGAGGCTTGCTTTACATTTTAACAATTTAGTCAGCAAATTATAAGAGAGGAGAGGGATAGAGAGAGAAGCCAAAACAAAAGGAAAAAAAAGAAAGAAAGAGCAGAGAAGATAAACAGAAGTGTAACCACAGTTACAGTTCCTCTGTTTTTTTTTTCAAGAATTACTGATGATTAATCACACTGTTTAGCAGACAGTATAAGAGATATGTGTGCAGTTATTGCGAGGCGGCACGTGCAGAATCTCCAAGCCTTGAAAAATCCATGAATCTGGATGTTATTGTTACTAATAGCCACCATAGTGCATGCATGTCAGACACAGGAGACTCCAGAGCGAAGCCTTTCTTAACACAAGCACATCACACACCTATTTACATAGATATTTATTTTACAAATTGACAGTGTACGTCTGTGTGTGTGTGGATGCAAGTAGTACTGAAAATGGATAAATATTTATATTTATAAAAAACACACTTGAAAAATCAACAAGAGATGTGTGGGAGAAGGTATGGTGGACCATGACCTTGTGTGTATGTGCATGTCAGATCTGGATTGTTCATACCGGGCTTGGGATAGAATCAGGATCAAGCCTCTTCAGGGCGGGTGGTGCTGCAGCAGGTGCAGCGGGTGGTGCTCCATAGTTTGGCTGCCCAGGATATGGTCCTGTGTAACCAGGCTGAGGCCCGAAAGCACCTGGTGGAGAAATAATATGTAATAAGCAAATCAGTACACAAAATCAAAGACTTGAGAATTAATTAGCCCTGTTAAATGGTTCACCTAAAAAGAATTTTTTTTTTACTTGTTCTACACCTGTAAAGCTTTATTAAAAACACTGAAATTACAGGAAACAATTTTTTATAGTATTGGTTATAATTAGAGCCCGACTGATATATCGTTTTGCCGATATTATCGGTCGATATGTGCCTGTCGCCGATATATCGGTATCGGCGAATATGGGCCGATATGAATTTTTTTTTACAGAACATATAACGCAGATAAAATGCTTGAAATGGTGTAATTACTTAGTTTGTCCAGCAGAGCGCACTCTATTGTTTGCTACTGGCGACCTTGATGAAACGCTTTAAAGTTTATGTCTATGGAAAACCATTGAAACTTTGAACGGCCATATCTCCGTAACAGCGCGGCGAATCCGCACCAAATTCGGGGGATCACTTCAGCTCAAGGAACCCTCTCGAACGCGAATCGAGTGCAAGTCTAGAAGCCAGCTTTTTTTCCGATAGCCCCCGGGGTTCGGGAGTTACGGGTGGTTAAATTCGCGGTCCGGCGCCGACCGATCAAGCGATCCCGTGGGGCTACCGACGCGTGGAGGGGGGCGTTTGAGAGGGTTCCTCGAGCTGAAGGTGGAGACCCGGCGGCGGGTTCGCGAGATAGTGACAACCAGTCAACACTTTCACTTCAGTAAGGAGGTCTCTTGTTCAGGCAGCAGCATTCAAGCGTGGTCTTAATCGACCATAAGTGCCCTGCGAAGTGGACTTCACATGAAATTCCGCCATGATTCCAGTTCCAAGGGAATGTACACGTTACATTCAAAGGGCATTAAAGTGCGACAGACGTGAATTTATATTGTATTTATTTACAGAGGTATATTATGTCACACTTCTCTAGTAAGTTTCGTCTGTGTGTGAAGATAGTAGCGCAAATCCGTGAATGAATGTTCCGAAGTGAAATAAACTTCAACGGAATAAAGTTGAATGGAATTGAATTAAAGTTGAATAAACTTCAACTTTACTGTTCAGTGCACTGATGTCGGACTCATTTTGGATAATAAAGTTTATTGTTAAATGCCCTGCCTCCATTACGTATCTCTGTCAC